TTTTATAATCTGTTGTAAACTATTTTTTATGTTCTAGACGAGTATGTTTTCGGTCATTTGGGAAGGAAGGAAGGAGAATATTCATCTCTCCGATGACCACCGTAATCCCCTCCATCGGAACTGGGAGGAGCCGAAAACCAAAAGTCTTTTATGCATGAAAGTGTGATTTTTTTCCCCCAATTCTAGTCGTTTTCCCCACTTTTGCTATTCAAAATTTTGTTCCTTGTTGTTATCTGGATATTGCGCCGCCAAAAAGGCCGAAAAAATGGTGCTTTTATCGTCGAAAACGGACCAGAGGATCATCGAAAACTATGGCTGATGCGGCGGCTATGAAGGGCCGCCGAATCGGGTCGCGAGCGGGTCTGGAATCTTGTTGACCTAACCCGATTCCATGAGGAAGGGGACCCAGCACCAGAAACGCCGCCGTTTTGGATTTGAGAAGGCTTCTCTGTTTGGTTCTAAAACGGCGTCGTTTCAGGCTTAAGTGAAACTCACCGTTTCACTTACTTAGATTTTGGGCCGCGTTTCGGGCTTTACAAAAAAAAAAATTTCGCACAGAAATCAATTTTGGTCACTATTTGGTTACTGGGCTTCTGTTTTGGGCCTGAACAACTATTTTGTTATTTTAGAATGTTCTTTTGGGGCCTGTTTTGTTTAAATTCTGTTTAGCCCATTTATTTTTTATTTTCCAAAATCAGTTCATGTTAAATAAATAATTAATTGCAAGTTATTTATTTATTTGAAAATAGTTTTCACATGTAATTTATTTTATGCCAATATTTGAATTGTTGAAATAAAGATAAAAGTTAATATTAGCTATTTCACATCTTGTGTAAATTTGCAAAATTGTTTGTTGTAAAATTGTTTGTTTGCCTAAATGTTTGGATACTAAATTTTGGGCAATTTGGTTATTTACTTGAATTTTGCAATGTTTATTTTGGGATGAGATATGCTGAGGTTAATATTTAAACAATTATTTGGATGCATAAAAATAGTTGGAGAATTTATTTCAGTTATTTACTTGTTAATTAAATTAATTGCTTAAATTCTCTATTGAGATGTGCATATACTGGACTTAAATGCACTTATATGATATTTGTGATTAGCATGCTTCTTTAAGGAGTAGCCACAGCATCTTTTATCTATTGCATGCGATATAAATCACATAATGAACTTATAAAATATCAATTGTAATTAAATATGCATTCACATACAAGGCTTCCCTGTAACTTCCCCTCATAAATAAGTTGGATAGAAACTGAATAAGTTTAAAAGAATCTTGTACTAACTCTAGTCCTTAACATCAGTTTTATAATTCTTTGTCAAGGACCTGAAAACTACGTGTTTAAGTTCCAGTAATTGAATGGTGAAACTTTTCAAGTTCCACTTCTGATTTGGGTTTTTTTACTTCTCTGGGTTTCATTTAAATTCTTATTGACTAAATGCTAGAACTAGCACCTGGTGATATATCAGTAACTTTTCAAGAGCGACAGCAGCCAAAATCATGATTTCTTGATAATGCATTTATTGCTAGGGTTTGCATTTTACAAGTCCCTTGGGAATTTATTTTGAAACGTCACAAAAATCATGCACACCTCAAGTGGCACCCTGCAACTGCACTACCGCCTGGATGGAAGATCCCATCCCTCACAAGCTTTATACAGTTGTGTGGCTTGAACAGACGTACTCATATTGAGGAAGTGAGATAGCCTCACATTCATTGGGCTCCAGTATCCAGTTACTAGAGGCCAGATATATTATTTCTACGATACTCTGGACCTTCTGAAGATGATGGAGAAGAAAGAAATTTTTCTGTTTTTTATTATTTCAGTAAGCCAAAAGTTGGCTTTGAGATTAAGCTACAATAATCAAATTTGTGCAGCCTGGATGTCATCACTTACCAGTCAATGTCTTCAGGTTTCATCCATTGACATGTGAAAATATCGATAAGTTGATATTTATCCTGTCTCTGGAAGGAATTAATGGCAGCTTCAAACTCCATGACAATCTCTGCAAGGCTCCACTTGTCTTCTACCTGAGAGGCTTCCACTTCAACAAGTGTCTGAAACTCTTTAAGTAACTGAGAATTAGCAAGATATAAATCTGTCCCTATATCGGTGGGTAACATATTTAGTTTAATAGGATACACAGAATATCGTTTTATATTCAATGCTGATTCTGTCATGATTAATTGAGAGTTATATGGTAGACCTCGCCCATCATATTCATATGAAAATGAATGTCTCATGGAGTGCGCTATAATAAATGGGTCAAATAGTATGGTAACTACAAAAGGAATTTGTTATTGCTGCTCTCCATTTTTCTTCCCTCATTTCTCTGCACCTACACTTCATGGGAGTCGATGTGTGCATGACTCTGCCATTTTAGGATTCCCATATTATGTCTCACCCTTTATCAGATACAGTTACTTCTGTTACAATGAATGCAACTTCCCTTTGTGGCTAAAGAAGAAGACTCGTTAATTCTCAGTCAAAAAGAGAAAAGCTCCAATTTCGTCTTTCATTCTCCGAATATAACAAGACTCCCGGTAACAAGGAAAACATTCATTCTTCTCCTCCTCCATATTGGAAATCGGATGATACAGCATTAATCTTCTGACCTGGCTGCAAATTGTCCACGGTCAATTTGAATTTGATAACGACTGGAATTTCCTTCAAACGTGTGCCATGGGTCACGATCGTGAGGGGAACGTTCACTTTTACATCCAAGGGAATCTTATTTTCCTTCTGATCCTGCAACAAGTCTTGTTGAGTCTGTGAATCAAAATCACTCTCACCTTTCAACTCCACGTTCATCATCGAGGTGTTCTTCGGAGGTTGTTGGAAACTTGGGATTTGTCCACTACAGAGCTGGTTATTAGAATACAAAATGATCACTGAACTCTTCTCCCCATATCCAAGGGAAATCTCTTCGTTGGGATTCTGTGCTTTCAGAACAACGTTGAGTTCGGTATAGACCTTATTCCCGTGTTGGGTATCGAATTTGGTGACACTGACGTTATCAACTGTGTAGACTGGAAGTTGAGGGTTCAGGAAGAAGACGAGAAAACCAAGGGTGGCGCAAATGAGGAGGATGACGAAGAAGATGAAGCAACAGCAGCAGCAGAAGCACTTCATGCAACCGTATCCGCTGGAGTGGTGGTGGTCGTGTTCATGGTAACGCGGGATGTTACGGCGGCCGGGTGGAGGAGTAGGCAAACCATCTGGGTCTAGAACAACGTATCTCGGTGGGGCACCCATGGTGGTGGGTGCCGATGAATTGACTGGTGATCAATGATGGTTCTAAATAGACTATCTTAGACGCAGCTGGCGGCGGCGGCGGCGGATGATATTGTCCTGTTTCTGGGAATACTACGAACGCATTCTCAAGAAGAACGAGGAAAGTTGAGTGTTTTCTGGGTCAAAAAAAAACCTCTCCTTTCTCTCTCTTCTTGATCAAAGATGTTCTTTTTGACGGGAATGAGGTACTTGCTCTGTTTTGAGGAAAGCTAATGGTTGAGGATTTTGCTGCATTTGGATGGTTATAGAGCGTGCCGTTTGTCTAGCTAGATTTTGGGGGGACTCAAACTGGCTTGCGGCGTGCAGCTCTTACCTTATTTTGAGCACAGCCCAATTATGGTAGCCTCCTACTATTAAATTATATTGATATGAATGTGATACATATTTAAAGTTTTGATTTCTTTTAAAATTATTATACATTTATATTAGATAAGAATTTAAATCTTTATCATTATTTGTATGTTAATTTTTCTAGGCTAAAAGGTGTTGGGATTTAAGGTAGATGCTTTTAGATTTGTGGTCCACTTGGCCTTCTGGTGGGATTTTCTCAAAGTTTTAAGTATTACTAAACTAAAGTTCTTTTTTTCATCCTAAGTACAGCTCTTTTTTTTTTTTTGAGACATTATCAAGTATTAAACGTGAGTAGTTCTTTCAATCAAGATTTTGAATTTTGGTTCGCTATGTCATGAAAGATTAGTTTCTTTTGCTATTCTCAATTCCGGAGCCTAAACCGGAAGTTTTATTACTCACGTTCTATCCTCCAACCTGCACCACGAATAGGCTTCCATTCTGGGCTTACATACTCATTTTTTGTTTCGTTGTATTTATGCAAATTTGACAAGCTCTTTGGTCCTGGGCTGGACCCAATTAATGTTTTGTCTTAAATCCATTGGGCCGAGCCCAGGACCAAAGTTAGCTTATTATTCTATGTACCCATAATTCAAACCAATTCCGTCACAATACTATTAAATTCAATGCATTAAAATTCTCTTGAATTTTAAGGTCCATGCAACGCGTCAAAAGAAGTTCAAGTTATAAATATATAATAAAAAGGAAAAATCGCAAAAAAAAAAGTGAAAATGAAAAATAACAAATAAGGACCCATAATAATATTAGTATGAGTTTTGACAACAATAATTTAAGTTTTGACAGCAATTTTTGTGAACAGATCCCGGTGTGTAACTCTTCTATTTTGATTTTTTTTTGGACAATATTAGCATGATTTTTGACAATAATAATATAGGTTTTGACAACAATTTTATGAATAAGTCCCTATGTATAACTTTCCTATTTCGACTGTTTTTTGTTTTTGTGATTTTTCTTAACAAGAAAGTATAACAGCAATGATGATAATGACATTATTGCGGGGAAAAAAACAGAAAGAAAGAAAGGAAGAAAGAAAGAAAACAATGAGTGTGAATTACTTCATTAGTCCTGGCCAAGGCCACTAGGCCAGCTTCGCTTTTAGTTTATGGAAATATAAAACATCAGTGCTGTCTCAGCCAAACATCAACGTGGAAGTTGGGTCCCAGACTCTCGGTGAGTCAAAAGTCATATGCTTTACTGAAAAAATGGTGTTATAGGCTTTACAAGGTTTGGTTTACATCGTTTCCCCCTCTTCATCCTGTTAGAATAATTTGCAGAATCCCGGCATGCTATCTCCGTGATTCAATTTCAAACCAGTCTGCACAAAAAGCTTACTGAAACTCCCATAAAAATTATCCAAGTTAACTCAAATTAGACTTCCATTCCAACCTATAAGCATCTTTAATGCTATTTGAATTGCCTTGTATATATGACGGCGACCCAAATCGCAGAAGGAACTCTATTCTGGGATCATCGAGCACATAACTTTCAAGGTAGCATCATATTAATCGCTAGATATAGACAAATACATATGGTAATAACTGAAATTTTAAACCCTGTGACAACAAGGTAACACCCGCTAAACTAAACTGCTTGCTTATTGGTCTTTGCCGTCATAACCTGAAAGAAGATGACGCAGCAAGCAACAGGGGTGATCCTAAATCCTGCTAATTTGCCTTCATATCTCTAAAAACCCAAATACTGCAAGTCTTCATCACTCACAGTGTGCGTTGCGCCATGTCTGATTGAAGCAAATCAGGGCCAGTAAAACGTTTTGGTGTTGGATGATGGTGCAGGGGAGGAAGCTGAGATGGCGGACTTAGAACTGCAGGATCTGAAGGAACCAGTTCGCATGAAGACGAGAACAGAGTTGACCATTTTCTTAACCTTGACAGCCACCTTCTTGAGCTTAGGAGGTGAAGAAGAAGAAGAAGAAGGGGGTTTGGAATCTGGGAAATCTTGGGAGAAGGAACTTAGCCTGTAGGTAGTGAGAAAGATTTGCCTTTGTTTGGCTCTTCTGCGTCTGTAGCTGACGGACTTGAGTCCCAGAGGCTCGTATCTGTAGCGGCGGCTAAAAGTGAGGGTGCCGTTCCGGACAAGGGTCGTCATCCTCACTTGCTGCCTAAACCCGCACACACACACTCGCATCCCTAGACCTAGGACTTGGTGCTGTTTTATAATTCATCTTCATCTTTCCAATCCCTTTCACTTTCTCACCTTTTTTTTTCTAGTGGGCAACTTTTATTTGACTGCAATAAATGTTTGTTGACCGTTGACCGGTATTTCTTCTCTTCCTTCCGTGGCGGGCGCTTCTTCTCCTTTCTTATTTGCAATGGTCTTCAAATAGAGCCGGGAATCAGGGCCGGCCCGGCCTTCCAGGGCTGGCCCTTCAGGGCTAACGGGTTTAAAAGGACCGGCCCTCCAGAGCTGGAATTTTAAAAATATCCCAATTTGCTAGGCCCGGCCCTTAAACTACAGGGCCAGGGCCGGCCCGCGGGCTTTTGGCCCGTTTAAGAAAAAATACTATTTTTTATATTTATCATATTTTTTATAAAAATAAATCAATGAAATTATTAATAAAAGACATAAATATGAATAAAATTAAGTCACATATAAAATATCATCATATATAAATATTCATCAATATCTAAGAACATCTAAAACATTCATTAACAAGATAACAACATCTAAAAGTTTTATCTATAATGCAATTATGCAATAAATAAACACTATTATTAATCTTTTGAAACTTCATCATCACTATAATTAATTACTTTTTTTCATAAGTATACTTTTCTTTCGTAACAAAAATATCAAGTTTTTCTTCTTTATAAGAATTTTATTTTTAAATTTTGCAATCTAACTATTATTTTACTTTAATGTGAGAAACATTGCTGTTGAAACTCATGAATTTCTAATTCAAATTATAGAATCACAAGTTATATAAGTATAAAATATTCTATTATCAAATATATATATATAGTTTAAAAATATCAACGCATATAATATAAATCAAATCATTATTAAAATCCAAATTAACCCATTTTTTAAAAATTTAATTGGATAAATTATTATCTAAAACTAAATTTACTTTTAAAATGATAATAATAACTAAATATTTGAAATATTATTAACAATGTAAAAAATTAATAACATTAATATTATATAAAAAAATTTAAAAAATAAAAAAAATATAAAAGGGCCGGCCCGTGGCCCTCCAGGGCCGGCCCTTTTAAGCTCTCGGCCCTTCAGGGCCAGCCCTCCAGGGCTTATGTTTCATTTTAAGAGAAAAATATCAAGCCCGGCCCTCATAATTTCATGGCCTAAAAGGGCCGGCCCGACGGGCTCGGCCCGTTTTCCCGGCTCTATCTTCAAATAATGACGCTATAGTGCAATAATCTAGTAAAAATGAAAATGGGTTGTTATTGCATTACAAAAATTAAAGATAATACTCCTCCGGTCTCTAATATAGGACCCAATTCTTAAGTTGGTTTTGGTCTTAAATATAAGACCCATTTTTCATATTTATCAATTTTCTCTAAATTAACCCTATGGATACTCCATCAACCATGATCAAATAGAAGAAGGAGATGAGGTATTAAGAGAGATGATTATGGTATTTTAGGAAAAATGTGTCATTTTTCTTATAATTAACTAACTTACCTAACTTCCTTAATCTAATCAAATTAGTTAAATAGGTCTTGTATTAAGGACCGGAGGAGTACTTATATAATTGAATTGTCACATTCAACACTGTAAAATAATAAAGTTTGTTATATATGTATATTGTAATTTTACATATGGATGATGATTCATTATATATATTGATTTTAATTTTAAACCAAAATGGACGGTCAAGATGTCATGCTAATTAAATATTTCCGTGTGGTATGATGACGACATTGAATACGTCTCCTATTTTTCCTCTTGGAGGAAACCAGCGGATGTGTTCAAGACTTCGGATTTCATTTGGACAAACGCGTTTTGATTTATTACTTTATTTATCCAAATTTGTAATTTGCAAATGCATACAAATAATTTGGGAAAAAGGGCATACAAATAATATTAAAAAAAAGTGTGCGAGTGTGTGTTGATATGCTTTGAATTGTAGGAGTATGTTTGTATTTATCTGTACGTAATAAAACTCCATGAGGGAAACAATATCCCATCATGGATCTAAGGTGACATAATAATATATTATATCGTAATTGTGACACGAGAACAAAAGTTATTAAATTGATGTTAATTTTTAACATAAAAGTGTAATTTGAGTTTTAACTTAAAACAACATTCAATTAAATAAATTTTTTATTTAAAACATGCATATTATGTACAATTTTGAAGTTTAAAATATTGTAATATGTTTTTCTTATTGCTTGTAGACATATTTCTGTTCGAGATAATCTCTTCGAGATATAATCAGATACTAAATGTAGACAATAATATTTAAAGCACCATTCAATATTAAAGCGTATCATGTCAAATGTTATGTATTGTGGGTAAGTTTTTTCCCTCTAATCAGTAGTATTAAACGAGGTTAACATACATTGGAGGATAACAAATTTATGAATTAAATGTTTCCATGTACATTATATCCACGTGTGAGGATGGATCGGGGAATTTGAGACAAGCCGACTTCTCAATAAATCAGTAAATAGAGACTATCGCGGAATTTTGACTAATTCAAAATTGTTTACCAATGATGTTGACTCCAAATGCTAACTTCATATTCTCTCTGGAAGACTAGAAGAGTTAAAACAGCAGAAGGAACGTATATAAAATGCGTGCATTTTGTCTCTTTTTGGCCATAAAATATTGCATTTCTTGCTTATTAATTACCGCTCATGTCCTTAATATAATACCTAAATATTGAGTTAATTTTGACCATAAATATAAGACATATTTTTATATTTATTAATTTTTCTTAAATTATAGGATACTCTCTCAACCACAATCAAGTAAGAGAAAATAAAGATATTAAGGAAGATGATTATGATATTTTAAAAAAAATTCATATTTTTCAAAATTAAATAACTAATTTTTTTTCAATTTAATCAAACTAGTTAAATAAATTTTATATTAATAATAGAATAAGCAAAATATTTGTAATTATAATTGGCCCAATATAAAGTCAAGCCTCGGGAACCACAGGTTTGGTGGAATAAAATAATGGACCATATCAAAGGAGCCCACTAAAATACTGGAACGGGCCTACCGAGCTGGAAAGGAAATGATTGGATTCCGGGAACCAAGCCTTTTTGTTTTGTTGGGCCATCCCACGAAGCAAAAGTCATAAATTCATAACACTTGAAATAAAATCAATAATAACACCAGGTTATCACTTATAATTATAGAACAGTAAAGTTTCACATTTGGAGCCAGGAAAAGCATCAAGTACTTGATAATTTTAGTTAACATGCGCCATCATTTTAGTTATCCAAACAAAGCACGCACCGCAGGAAGAAAAAAAGAAAGAAAAGCGTTTATTAATGGCGGTCACGTCAGAACATTGGAAGCTATTTATGATCCATTTATGAGCAGGAAAACAAAGAGCAAGCCCTCTCTGCATTTATGCATTCCATGCTCCATAACCAAGCTGGGTGAGTACTCACGAAAAAGAAGCACTCTCAACACTTTTCTCTTTTAATTCTTAGCTTCTTCCACGGCACAAAACCACCTTCACTCCTGTGACTTGGTCTAGACATAGATGACCAAACCCTCTTTCATGTGACCTCCTCACTTTGCCTGTGAACGAAGAACCATCACTCCCTTTTCCGCTCCTATAAATACATCGTCTCAGCTTATCTACTGTGCTTAATCAAAGTCTCAACAAAAACACCCACCAGTAGTGTTTCAGTAAACGGATCGTAAGAGAGCTCCAAGTATATAATGAAGATCGCTACAGTTTTTCTTCTTCTTCTCTATGTTCCATTACTCATCTCTGCAAGGCACATCCCCAGTTCGGAGTATTCTCGTCGTAAGTATTCCATTTGAATTCATCTCCTGTATATGTAGAATGAGTTAGGTGGGGTTATGTTGATTATGTGCGGCGGTTTTTATTCATTACAGAAGATGAAGAACAAGCAGGGAGAGGATTATTATCAGACACAAAGATGATGAAGAGGTTGAGAGGAGAGACAGTGGAAGAGGTAGCAGGGTCGAGGTTGCCGGATTGTTCTCATGCGTGCGGTTCCTGTTCGCCCTGCAGACTCGTTATGGTCAGCTTCGTTTGTGCCTCCCTTCAAGAGGCTGAGACCTGTCCCATGGCTTACAAGTGCATGTGTCATGACAAGTCCTACCCTGTCCCCTAGAGTTATACAAGTCCATATATATGAACTTTGTCCTTAGTAAGGATATATCTATATATGTCAACGTGTTCTTGTTCAGAAACATATTTTGTATCCACGCAACTTGTGATGCCCCCATTTTGTTTGATACTGAGTTCTTAGTGTTAATCAACTATAGGGAAGAGATACTGAGATACTTGAATGATTCAGTTTTTCTTCCATCCCTGCTTCCTTTCTATGTTTTTTGGGGCAAAAACCATCGTTTAATTTTTTTATTAAACATGACAACATTTAAGGTTAGTTTGATATTACTTCTCTGATTCTAAATATAAGACTTACTTTGCAATGTAATTTATACTATAAAATGAGTCTTATATGTAAGACTGGAAGAGTATTCCAGAAGGGGAAGGAAAGAATGAAGGCATACATCAAAACATCTAATTTATCACACTGTTATTATATTTGTGTCATTATTACGTTTTACGCTTCCAATTTTTTGATAAAAATATGATACATATCATACATAAGATCATAATAATCAAATAATCCAAAAACGGTAATTTTCTATTATATTTATTAATAAACAAATTTATAACATCTATGGTTTGGAAATTAACATATAAAAATTATATGTGTTCATTATATGATAATGTAAAACAACTTGAAAACGCAGATGGCAGACCAAAAAGGAAAAAGAAAAATTATATTTTATATCCACATTATTGGATATGCCGTACTCAACAAGGAATCTGCACCTGGGCGGCATATTTGGTATGTACCGTGCCTGAGGGACTCAGAGGGATTGAGGGCCCAGAGCTTTAAAAATAAAATAAAAGCAGAGGTGTCTATGTAATCTATCTGCATCTGCCCACACAGGATCCTGCAAAACCCCATTTGCCCGATACAGACAACCAAATTTACTAATATTAACTATTAAGTTGACTTTGCTGATACCTAAATTTTCCTTTCCATCTCCTTTAATGAGAGGGGCCGGGACCCCAAATCTTTTACTATTTATTACCTCTTTCACAGAAAAATCTGACTACCTTTTTCGCCGTCCTCGCAAGTGATCAATTGGCCAGTTTATCCTTTGAAAGTGGATTATCCACTTGGCCATGCGTTAAAGCTATGTGCCATTACATGACCCAGCAAAAATTCATAATCCTAATTAGCATCAAAGGCAACTCATTTATGTTATAATCAATTGGATCAAAAGCCTCTTTCGGATGAGCATTATTTGCATGATGCCCTCTTATCACGCAACATTCAATTGCATAGTTCTTGGAGTCATTATTAATTAGTTTGATAATTGATTGTGTCAAATCATATCGATAAGACTTAGAGAGTCTGAATCGAAGTCCATCTCTTCACTGTGCCATCTATTTGCTCTCCACAGTTCAGCTACAATGACAAACAACTACGGCACAGACAAATGGGGTGTTTGGATAGAAACCAAACTATAATTTTAGAAGTGTTTTTACGGATTAGGAAGTAAATATGTGGAGGAGGTTACTTCGTTTTGCGGAAAAGTGATTCTGAAACCTAGATTTTGGTTTTGCCAAACACCCCCAAACATATATAAACAAATTACAGGGCTGCACTATGCCTAGTACAACTGAGACAATCCTTTCTAAGAATATCAGCTAGCTCAGAAGGCGCTTGAGAAACAACATGAGAGCCATTATGAGCAAAAAGGGCCTTCTTCTCTAAGAAATCTGCAGCGTTGTACTGGTCTAATACAATATTACATAACACTTGTAATTATATTTAATAATTTTCTCTTCCTTATTGCTCTGTCCTCTTTCTGGTTCCACCACTGCCTTCTTGTGGGGTCTTTTTCAGACCTCGATCCAGCACCTACACACTGCCAGAGACATGTCTCGTCGGATACCACATCCAATTCTGACTTCGGGAAGAAGAAGAGGAAGAAGACACCATAGCTAATTAGTTCCATTCCTTTCTTTCTTTTTAATTTCCTCCCTTTTCTGGCTCATTATTGTATCTACACGTTCGCTAGGAGGTGGGAGATAACTTTTGTCTTGTATGTAAAGGTGCCGTCTTGAAAAGAAGATAGCAATGTTAGGCAGAGCAGCGACACCCACCCCACCTTCTCCACTTTTCATAACCCTTCTTTACAGCAAAATGTGACCTTTAATTACGTTCTTAATTTTTTTAGCCTTTATTTATTCACCCTTCATCACTTCTTGTTCTAGGATGCCCTTCAATGTTATGTTACCACTTTCATCTCTCTCTCTCTCTCTCTCTCTCTCTCTCTCTCTCTCTCTAGTTATGGGTACAGAGAAAATCAGCGTACAAACAAAATAATAGCTCGGAATGATGGGAGGTTGAATTATAGGAGGGAAGCATGGGTTGGTTGGGTGTGCAATCATATGTCTCCCATTTCTTCAAAAGGTTTTTGTCTTTTTTTCCAACTTTTGCTTTTGGTTTATAAAAGAAAATGAGCCATTCTTCTGCTCGATTTTGTTTCCCTCATGAGATTGAGGAAGCGCAAACGATGTTTTCCTTCTTGCTCCTCTCTTCACAAAGTAAATCCCATTTTCTTTTATAGAAACTCTGATAGTTTAGAAGATTAGTGAAGAGGCTGGTTTTCTTCAGAATGTGCCTGTTTTACTGATGTGCAATGCGTTTTGTGCCCATCAACGAAATATTTTTCCTTTTACATCCTTCGAAACAGAAATTTAGTACTCCTTTTTCTGACTATTTTCTCTCCTTACTGTAAAGGAAAGATATTACATTTCTTCTTGCCAATGCAAAAATTGAAAACCCCTCGCCCCCAAAAAAAAAAAAAAATTTGCATTCTCGACAAGGCATTTTTAAGCACAGTGAGAAGGTTTCAACTAATTGCATGAAATTTCTCAATAGATTCGAGCTTTTGGCAGATTCATGGACTGTTCATATTCTGGTTATTTCAATGCACTTTACCATAGATGCTCTGAAAATTTAAATGCAGGTTGATGAGGATGAGCCTTATTGGAGACAAAGAAAGGAAGATGAAGAATTGGAATGGCCGCACAATTCTACTCACCTAATATCTCATTTGGCCCAATGTCTTAGTAAGTAGATTTATCCCTTGATCTATTGCTACTATCTTTCTACATTCCATTTCTCTTATCAATTCATTAAAAGTTGACCCAATCGATATTACATGCCAGTCATCATGAGAGTTTATTAATTGCTGCTTCAGTAGATTACCCTTTGATCCATGAAAAATTCAGTTATTCCTACATCCTTAACACAGTTTTCTAGGCCACTTCTTCTATCCTCTGTTTTTTTACATACAGAGCACAGAACAATTTGGTTTCAAAGTGACCCTTACTCTGTCAAAATCTCCTAACAACCGCCGACAAACTCAAAAAACTAAATGTTAACATTCCAAATCCTTATCATAGATTCTTCTTTTCTTTTATTACTGATCCACATGTTGCTGGAAGTAGCTAACGCTATGGTTGGATCGCGATCATGGATAGGAGGATTCTTTCATCGCTCAAGCACTAAACGTCATCACAAGTTTGTTGACTATCCTTTGACTCCTCTTCAGGTGAAAAAGCAAAGATAAAGTTGTCGGTTTCTATTTTCACATTGTATCTAATTGTAGGATCGGATCATGAAAATATTATGAATGTATACAAAACAGTAATTTTTGTCGTGAATCATGATATTAATTTTCACACGTGTCTGGCAATGGATAATTCATGACACATTACATGATTGGAGCAGCTTATTTTAAAGCTTAGTTAGAAGCTAGATTTACAATTGTGTTCCTAGTATGACTTTTTTTGTCATAACAAAATCATTGAACTGACAATGTTTTAGTTTTGTTGCTAGGAACAAAGGCTTCAAAAGCTTCAAGAACGGCTGCAAGTGCCTTTTGATGAGACTCGCCTTGATCATCAAGTACTTGCATTTTACGCAATGCCAACTTTCTTTTTATAAAATCCTTGGCAGACACGATTACACTTCAACTTATAAAATGTCTAATGATTTCTTTCATTTTATTAAACTGTAAGTTGAAACTTTTGAGCTATGATTAACCATCATTAACTTTCAACAGGAAGCTCTGAGAGCATTGTGGCAGTGCGCCTTTCCTGATGTTGCTCTGAAGGGATTGATATCTGACCAATGGAAAGATATGGGATGGCAAGGTCCTAATCCATCAACTGACTTTAGGTATTCCTTATGAATACTGAAATGGAGTAAACCAGTTTTTACCCTGAGAAAATGGTTTATCCATTAATGTTAATAAGATTATATCATCTGAATAAAGTGGCTGGGATCCTTTTTATATGTACAAATGAGTACATAACGATATGACCAAGTGTTAGAAGCATTGATATTTAGTCTGATTTCATATCTTTTCTGGGCTTCAAATGCATTAATATTGAGATCTTGATAATGTCCGATTACAATGATTTGAAAGCACATGTTCATTACCTCAATATTTTGCTATTCAAAGGTATTCTGTCTCATAACTTGCATACCTCAGGGGATGTGGCTTTATTTCACTTGAAAACCTGCTGTTTTTTGCAAGGACATACCCGGTATGCATTCCTAGATCTTCTGCTTTGTGCTTTTCTTATTGCATTTTAGTTTTTTGATATCTACTGCTGTCAAGAAGAAGAGTCTGTACTAATTCTGTGACTTCAAAACGAAGGCATCTTTTCATAGGTTGTTGTTCAAGCAGGATGGACATAGAGCAACATGGGAGTACCCCTTTGCTGTTGCTGGGATTAATGTATCATTTATGCTGATACAGATGCTGGATTTATGCTCTGGTTTGTGACAAATTTTGACACATGAAATTTTCCATTATTAGCAACTTAGATCTTGACAGTTATTAGGAGTTAATCTACCTTTTTTCCTTGCAGTGAAACCTCGTTGTCTTCCAGGAATTAATTTTGTCAAATTATTAGAAGGTAATGGTGATGCTTGTCACAGTTATTGTGGAATGCCTCTTTATATTGGACCAACCATTATATCAATACTTGGTATTGCAGAAGATGAAGAAGCATTCGATGTTCTATACTGTATAGCTTTTGAGATGATGGATGCTCAATGGCTGGCTATGCATGCCTCCTACATGAACTTCAATGTAATACTAACATCTCTTTCTCTGTTTCCCGCATATCTGTTGCGAAAAAACAACTGAAAAAACATATTGAAGCAAACCTTTGAAATTGTGAAAAAGAAAACTTTAATACTA